AATAGCCATCTTGACAGGTATGATTTAATTTCAATATTGTTTTGATTCACATTTCCTGATGATTTAATTGTATTGCTTGCACACTTTTGTCATTTCATTTTCTTTGGAGAAATGGTAACTGCAATGCTTAGTTCATTTTTAAAATTAACATGCTATTTTGTTTTTCCTTTGCTTGCTTTTGAGTTGGAATACCACCTCCTCCCTCTGCCTCCTTTTCCTTTTCCTCTGCCTCCTCCTCTTCCTCCTCCTCCTCCTCATCTTCCTCCTCTACATTATTTGGAGTAATGTTAGCTCAAATCCTTAGTCCCTTTCTGGTATTTTTGTCTTTTTCTTTGTTATCTTCCGCCTCCTCCTCTGCCTCCTCCTCTGCCTGTTCCTCCTCCTCCTTCTTTTCTTCCTCTTCCTCTACTTCTTTTTCTTTTTCTTCCTTTCCTTCTCCTCCCCTTCATTGCAGAATTCTTAGCATTTTTGCTTAGGGCTGGTGTTCTAGTACTTGTGCCAAACTTCCATTTCTAGAATCTTTGCTTGTTAATTTGAATTTTACTGAGGTGGACCTCAGGCCTCCGCCTTCTTAGTAGTTTGGATTAAAGATGTGAGCCACCACCACCCATATTCTATGATCTTTTAAACATTATAAAATGTACACTTAACAAAAGACCTGTCTTTACAGTCTTTAAAGTATCAAGAAATTTGTTTTTACTTCAGATACAATGTTGTTGTATAATAATCTCTAGGCTTTTTCTAGCTGCACTGAGTGAAGCTAGTGGAGTAGTTGATTATAAGTCATTGCAATATGCATTAGATAAGTGAACTCATACTGTTTTCTGTGACTGATATAACATTCAACATAATATCCTCAATGTTCATCCATATTGTTAAACATAATTTTCTAAAGGGCTGAGTAATAATGGTCTATGTTTCATGTTCTCTATATGCTTTGTTTTCTTTATGTATTCATCTCTCTGTGCACATTTAGGTTTATTCCACACATTGGGTCTTGTGAATATTGCTGCAGTGAATGTAGGTGTGCCAATGTTTCGTGGTGATTTTTCTTTCAACATGTTCTGGATAATATTCAGAGGCTTCTTGATCATATGGTAGTTATATTTTCAACTTTTTCAGGGACCTCCATGGAATTTGTTATGTTTGCCCTATTTTATGTTCCAGCAATAGTAGGTAACAGTAAGTAAGGGTTCCATTTTCTCTATATCCTTACTAACTCTTTTTTCTTTTTTTCTTTTCTTTTTTCTTTCTTTCTTTTTTTTTTTTGTCAGTTATGGGGCTTGAACTCTGGGCCTGGGCGCTGTCCCTCAGCTCTTCAGCTCAAGGCTAGTGCTCTACCACTTGAGCCACACAGCACCACTTCTGGTTTTCTGAGTGGTTTATTGGAGATAAGAGTCTCAGGGACTTTCCTGCTCGGGTTGGCTTTGAACCGCAATCCTCAGATCTCAGTCTCCTGAGTAGCTAGGATTATAGGCGTGAGCCACTGACACCCTGCCCAACTCTTGTTTCTATATTTTTATTTTTAAATAATTACCAACTTGGTAGGTATGAGGTGATGCTCATGATATTTTTTATTCATATTTTCTGATGATTTAATGACATTCAGACATATACATTGGCCGTTTCTATGTTTTTGAAGAAATATTAACTGAAATCTTTAGTTCCTTTTTTGAAATCAATTTAGGAGGTTTGTGAGTTTTTTTGTTGTTTTGCTATTTAGTTGTAGGAATTTCGCTCATACATTTTGGAAATTAACATCAGATATACTGTTTGGGAATATTTTATTTCATTTGTTATAATGTTTATTATTTCCTTTGTTTAGATGCTTTTTAGTTTGATGTTATATCACTTATTTTTGCTTATGTTGCCTTCTTCTTTATTGTTATAATCATGTAATCATTACCAAGATGACTATCCCAGAGCTTTCCCAATCAGTCTTCTTCTAAGTTTTATAATTTCTAGTCTTCACAACTTTAGTCTATGTGAAGTTTTTTATTGAGTGTGGTGCAAAGTAAGGGTCTAGTTTCCTTTCTCTTTAATGTTGTTATCCAAGTTTTCTATGTTGCTGGTGTATCCTTGGTGTACTTATAAAATCAGGCAATTGGATATGCATGCATATATTTGTGGGATCTCTGTGATGTCCCATTGGATGTTTATTTCATACTGATTTCATACTATTTTGATTACTGTAATTTGGTAGTATATTTTAAAATCAGGAAATCCAGTGCCTCTAGTTTTGTTTTTATTACAATTGATTTGGATATTACTGTTCTTTTGTGGTTGCAAATAAATTAAAATTTTTCTACTTCTTAAAAAATTCAATCTTTGGCATCATTTTGGATCATTTGCATATTTTAGTAATATTGTCTTTAATAATATTGTCTTCTAGTTCATAAATGTGTGCTATCTTTTCACATGAGTCTTCTTTATCATTCCTTTGTAATTTTCAGAATACAAGTTTTTCAATTTCCCCATTAAATTTATACCTGAGTATTTTATTATTTTTTGATATTGTAAATATTATTGTAAATAATTTTCCTAATACCCCTTTCAGATACTTTGTTGTTAGTGTGTGGACATGAATTTAAATACTTTTTTACTAATTAGTTAAGGATTATACCAGAGTATGAAGAGATTTATAAGGATTGCTTTCAGAAAATTAAATGAACATAATTTTAAAGTGTAGATTTTAACATGTTATTATTATTTTGTTAACTCTCAGAAAATTTAAAAGTTAGCTTATTCAATTGTCCCTGATTAGGAACAATTGAAATCAAGTAAGAGGAAAGAAACATTATTATTAGAATAGGTCCAGTCTTTAATTATATTAGTACTTTAGTTTTAATGAGAAACTTTGGCATCTTTGGTGTAATAGTGAAAATATATAAAGTATGTTTTTTCAGCAATAGATTCTGAACCTAAGATCTTGTGTAGTGCTCCACACCATTGAGCTAACATCCCCAAGTTTTTTTTTCCTATTTTTTTAAACTTTTATTTTGAGACAAGTTCTTGCTAAGTTGCCCAGGATCACTTCAAATATATGCTCCTTTTGTTTCAGCCTCCCAAGTAGCTTGAATTGGAGGTATATGCTCCACACCTAACTAAAATAAAGGAATTCTTACCCTGGGCATAGCCAATTAAAAGCATGATTGACAGGAGATGTGCTCTTATCTGTTTTACTTTAAACAATGAGAAATCTTTATTGCCAATGAAGTACCACTCAGGATACACTGTCAGGTACATGTTTCCTAATGATACACTATTCCTAAAGGATTTTGGCAAGTTGTATTTAGTGGATATGATGTAGTGAGATCACTACAATCCTGTGCCTTTCTAACCCTGTTCCTCCTTACCTTATTTCTCCAGAGTGACAGAATTCCTAGGATATGCTATCCAGGTATAAAACCTCACCCCTTGTTCTATTTCCATTTCCTCTCCCCCGGCCTAACAATCTTGTGTTAAGCCCATTTCCTGTCGCTAAAGACAGTTGAGGAACAAGAATAGAATTGAATGACTATCATAAAAGAGGAAGAGGGACCAGAGAATGTGGCTTAGTGGTACAGTGCTTGCCTAGCATGTATGAAGCCCTGAGTTCAATTCCTCAGTACCATATACACAGATAAAGCCAGAAGTAGTGTTGTGGCTCAAGTGGTAGAGTGTTAGCCTTGAGTAAAAAAAGCTCAGGGGCAGTGCCCAGGCCCTGAGTTCAAGCCCCAGGACTGGCTTTAAAAAAAAAAAAAAGAAAAGAGGAAGAGGCTTATTCCAGTCCTGCAGACAGTTAATTCTAAGAGGCCCCCTCTTATGATAAAGACAAATGTTACACATTTCATTTAGTTATCTTTGTCAGACACGGGAGCATGTGTCCTTTGTAACACAACTTTAGGATAGTATAATCCAATTGGGCTATGTGCATGATAAGGGAATAGACCATAGAACAGAGGCCAGATGTGGTTGCAATTTTAACTTTTTGTTGTTGTTGTCAGTTGTGGGACTTGAACTCAGAGTCTAGGTGCTGTTCCTGAGCTTTTTTTGCTCAAGGCTAGCACTCTTCTACTTTGAGCCATAGGGCTACTTCCAGTTTTCTGGTGGTTAATTAGAGAAAAGTGTCTCACGGACTTTCCTGCCTGGGCTGGCTTTGAACCGTGATTCTCAGATCTCAACCTTTTGAGTAGCTAGGGTCACAGGTGTGAACCACTAGCACCTGCCTTAATTATAAATAACTTTTTATGCTCATGAAACTTTTTGTGATACAGTTTTACTTACTATCTTAATTTTACACCATTGCCAAACAAGTTATGTGGCTCTTGTTTTACCACTTTTGTAACTGTTATTACAAACTTCTGTTGAGGAAAAAAGTATATATTTCTCCAGTCCTGTGAATCTGTGTGTACATGGCTAATACCGTCACATTCAGTATGAACCAAACACAGGTTCATAGTGGCTAACATTTTCATAATAGGCAAAAATCCCTAGAAATTGCATTATCTTTATTGACCACTAAATAAATAAATATATAGGAAAAAACAACCCTCATAGGCCAAGGACAATGTTCACTCCTGTAATTCCAGCTACTTAGGATGCTGATATATTGGAGGGATGGTTTGAGGCCACTGTGGGGAAAAAGGAAGACTCATTGAAACAAATAAGATGGGCATAGTGGCTGATGTATAACCTTGCTGTGTGGGAAGCATAGAAAAGAGGATCATAGTCCAAGGCTTGTCTAAGTAAAAAGCGAGACTATCTTAAGCATAAAGGGCTGGGGTACAGCCTAACTGGTAGAGCACTTATGTAGCAATCACAGATCCTAATTAAAACTCTAGTGCTACCAAATAAACCAAAAGTACCCCCTCAAAGTACAAAAAAAATTCTACCAATGATAACAATGGAAACCTAAATTTAAAAACTAAAACTAAAACCTTGTGTTTGTTGACAGTTTGTTTGTTGGACTGTGCTCTTTGCTAGACTTCCTCTTAGCTAATGAGAGACATGGTACTTACCTATGTAAGGGTTTTTTGCATCTTCATCTTTACTGATCTTTTTCTTGATGATTTTCTTGGCATCTTTGGATGCTTTCCAGTTAATCAGAAATTGTCTTTCCATGTTTTTAATTTCTTTTCCATCAAGATATTCTAGAGAAAAAAATGTTAAAAATATGTACATATGAATATATAAATAAAAACATACACTTCTGGCTCAGGGCACAACAGAGTTACATCATAGGCTGAAGTGTTTCTTTTAAAATAGCTATTTTAGATAAATTATTTGTTTTTATGAACTTTTACTTATTTTTAGTTTTCTGATTTCAAAAAGAATATGAGCTGGATGGTACTGGATAATGCCTGTAATCCTAGCTACTCAGGCTAAGATGTGGGAATCTAAGCTGGGAATATGGCTCAGTGGTAGAGTGCTTGCCTAGAATGCCTGAAACCCTGGGTTCGATTCCTCAGTACCCCATAAATAAAAAAAGCTGGAAGTGGCTCTGTGGTTCAAGTGGTAGAGTGCTAGCCTTGAATAAAAGAAGTTCAGGGACAGTGCCCAGGCCTGAGTTCAAGCCCCAGGAATGGGGCTCTGGGGAATCTCAGTTTCAAGCCAGCCCAGACATGAAAATCCAAGATTCTTTTTTTTCCCCATGATATTCTTATCTCCAATTAACCACACACACACACACAAAAGCTGGAAGTGGATCTGTGGCTCAAGTTGTAGACAGCTAGCCTTGAGCACAAAAAGCTAAGGGACAGCTCCCAGGCCCTGAGTTCAATATTCCCTCTCCCACCCTCCAAAAAAATGTTACTACAAACATTTGAAATCTTACGGGAAAAAATGAAAAGACTCAAATTATCACTCTTCTCATCACTGTCAGAGATAATCACTGTGAAGATTATAGGATCTTCCTTCTTACAGTCATATGTAAACTATATTATTTTATAAAAAAAAGTGTTATATGCAGTAAAAATTGCATCCTATTTTCTCTTAATACTTTTCTTTTGAAAATATGTTTAAAATGAATAGTAAATTTTAAACATGGTATTCCAAAATTACATACAGTATTTATAATGTCTATTATATCCTAGGATACCGGATGTCAAGGAACAGCCCACAGAGCCAGTCTCTACAAATTCTATGGTCCAACTATCTTTACATTTTTTCCTTTTAGAAAGTTTCAAAAATTGAGTTGCTTAAAATTACACAAATAATTGTTGTATTTTGTAAGATATGTGGAAAATGCAAAAAAATTAAAAGTACCTTATCACATGAGAACGATCATTGAAAAATAATTGAAAATTTATACTTTAGAATATTTAACTATTTTTAATTTTCTATGTGTTTGCATATATATAAAATGGACTCTTTGTATAGTTTCTATATTCTTCTTTTAAATTAGTGTATTGTGAGCATTTTCCATATGTTTATTTAAGCACAATTTTAAGTGTGGTAGTATTTGTTATATATGGTTAAACTATAACATATTGAAAAACTCCCTTTTATAGGACATTTTATATTATCCATATTACTTTCTTAATCACAGACAGCCTGGCTTTTGCTGGTTATTTTGGAGATTAAATTAATTGGACTGTGCTGGCTTCAAACCATGATCCTCTGGACCTTTGTCTTCTGAGTAGCAAGGATTACAGGTATGAGCCACCACAGCACCAAGCAAGGTAGTTTATTTTATTTTTTCAGTGCTGGGCTTAAACCCAGGGCCATCAAGGCAGACACTCCGAACCACACCTCCATTTTTTTTCTTAAGTAGTGGAGTTACATTGAATGTACTGCTTTAAGTATTGACAATATGACCTAATTCTGATCCATAATACTGCATTATACCCAGAATATGAAATAAAGTAATATTTCAGGACATCTAGTATGCCTGAAATCACAGTTTGTACTGCACTGTAAAGATATGCTTATTCCTGTACATACATACCTATAATAAAATTTAATTTATAAATCAGGTTTTATCAGAGATTAACAATAATATCTATTCATATAACAATAAGTAAGCCAGTATACTATAAGTTATATGTATCTTATTGTACTGTGACATATTTTGGGCTACAGATTGAAATCATGAAAAGATAAACCACAGGTAAGGGTGAGGGACTGAGGTACAAATTAGAAGCATAAGGTCTAGAAATATAGTTGTCTTCACTTTTTGTGTATATTTCTTAACTGAATGGTAGCACTTGCCAAACAACAAGAAATTATCTATTATTTATTCATTTATTTATTTTTTAGTCAGTCATAGGGTCTGAACTCAGCCTTGGTGCTGTCCTTGAGCTCTTCAGCTCAAGGCCAGCGCTCTACCACTTGAGCTACAGCACCACTTCCAGCTTTTTCTACTTATGTGGTGCTGAGGAATCGAACCCAGGGCCTCATGCATGCAAAGCAAGCACTCTACCACTGAGCCACCTTCCCATCCCAAAATAATAACTTTTAATATAAAGTTGTAAACATTATAAAGTGTAACGATAAAATATTTAGCTAGGATTACAGGCGTGAACCACCGACGCCCAGCTATCTTTTAGTTTTTACACTCAAATACAGCATGCCTTAGCTGTGACAATTCAGGATACCCTCTAATAAGGCTCTTCCATGAGGCAGCAAGATCTAATATATTATAACTTAATCACTACTGACCAAGTGTTCGAGACCATTTTCCTCAACACAGTGCATGTTCAGGAATGCTATTACTTGTAAGGATTACATAAGGGGACTCCCTACCTTGCTTCTCTTTTTAAAGGAAAGGGGCTCCTACATGTTATTACGGGATTATTTGGCAAATGTCAGACAGAAATGATAACCTTGATCAATTTTATCTACAGAACCAAGAATGAAGGAGTCTCTTAGGAACATCAGAGGATTTGTGCCAATGAATGTGTCGCAGAAGGTCAGCAAGTTTTCTGCATCTATGACTAGCCACTTTTGTTATTTACATCCACATTTTCTCCTTAAACAAAGAATACCTGGCACTTTATTTCTGAACAGCAGATACTTTTTTTTTTTTTTTTGCGGGGGGAGGGGGGGTCTGGTAGTGGGGCCTGAACTCTGGGCCTGGGCGCTCTCCCTCAGCTCTTCAAGCACTCTACCACTTGAGCCACAGCATCACTTCCGGCTTTTTTCTTTTTGTTTATGTGGTGCTGAGGAATCAAACCCAGGGCCTCATGCATGCAAGGCAAGCGCTCTACCACTGAGCCACCTTCCCAGCCCCGAACAGCAGATATTTTTTAAGTACTATTTCTCAATTTTTAATTTTTGCTCTTATTTAAAATAGCAAATTTAAAGTTGATAATTTTTCTAGATCAACATGTCATATTTGTATTTCTGAAAGATTGCTGACAAATTAGCCAAAGATAAACATAATATTTTCTAAGAAAATATGCTAATATAATAATATAAAATGTATACCTAGTGATTTGGATACCAGTATTAGCCTGTCCCTGTATTTGGGTTTGAGACAAACAGGATTTCCATTTAGATCCATTTTCCGTAGCTTCATCAACTTGTTCAGTAAAAACTCCAAATCCTATAATTGGAGAAAAAGCAACACACAGGTATCTCATAATTATCATTATTTTGAGCATGTCAGTTAACTCTTTTTTTAAAGGTAATTACTGCTTTTCATGGAGCCTTAACTTAGTGCTAAGTACTTAGAGGATGCATAATAACTAGCTTTTGAATAAAATAGTCTATGCTAGAAGTGCCTGAAGATGAGATAAAAAGTGAAGCCCTAAATTAGGGATCACAGAACTGTTCTTGGTCATGTCACTCTTAACTTGACCACTGTGTAGCTCAGAAAACATGTTCTGCTACAGAAGATGCCCTATTCTTACTGGAAGTAAAAATTTATAGATTATGGTAATTAAGGAGTAACAAATAAAACTAGACATTGCAAAAATATGTATTTTTTGCCTTTTATTTTATGAAAAATGTGGAAACCTTATCAAACCGGAAAATCAGAGAAAAAAACACTTGCATACTTATCACCCAAAGATCACTTTTAATACACTTTTTTACATCCTTCTTGATGTTTTTGAGCTTAGGGACTTCTTTTTTAATTGTCATCATATGATATGGTTTTTTATATCATAAATATTTGCTTGCTTTTATAACTTACAAGAAAATGAGATAGTTGGCATTTGAAGGAATGATCAATGGTGTGCAGTTAAAATTGATGTGAGGAAAACAGATTAATGGTATGTTAGAACTTGATTTCTTAGCTTGTCATCTTTACCACCCCTTCCCTATTTCCCTGTATATTTCTTTTCCCATTCACTGTCATTATCTTCCAATTCTTTGTCTTTTTTTCTGACTTTTTCTTTTTTAAATGTTATCTTAACATAATGGAAATGAAATATACTTTGAACATTTCTAAGTAGGTCCCAAAGTCTTGCCTTTTATTTAAAAAAAATGACTTAGGATATTGCCATATCTTGGCTACTGAATAATATTGCAGTGAACATTGGAATACAGATATTTCTTCAAAATAGTGATTTGATTTCCTTTGGCCTTATGTCTAGGATTTGGCCTGTGCTAGATTCTGAGGGATGCAAATAAATGATCTATGAAAATACAGGAATTCATGTTTTAAAGGCAGTGCTAAATTTCCTTGGCACTGTTGCTTACTATGAGTATGTGTTCATTTATAGAATGAGGATATTTAAGATTAATTGCAATGGCATATAAAGAACCAGGAAACAATATAATAAATGTGTTAGTTTTCTGCCTTTTGCTTACCCTGCTATTCCTCAGATAATTGTTTTTTTTTCTTAATTTTGGTCAGCAGGGCAAAAGTTTTAAGTAAGAAAGAAACTTGTGACTTACTGACAAACAAGTAGTTCTCTCGTTAAAAGAAAGCTTTCTTCAAAATTATCATTTAAACCCTCAGTCCCAGGCTCTAGAGCATGCCCTCTCCACAGCATTCATTCAATAGTGTTTAACAGCCATAATTATTTTATGTGAGAGTTACACTGTATTTCTCTTACTCTAAAAACCCCTTATAAGGAAGTGACTGTATATTGCACTTTTCTTCTAGTGTTGAATATAATATAGTGTTGGAAACAATATAAAAACTTTAAATTGATATAGATAACAAGAATGTTTGGCATTTTGTTAATTATTCTTCACTTGATAAATGACTCTCGACATAGTCCCTCCAGCGTATGTTTATTTAAGACTAAACTATTCCTGTGCTGAAATACGATTACCCTTTGGATACGCTCTGGTTGTTCATTGCCTTCCTGTCTGTAATAAATGCTTTCACTTTCTGCCCTTCAATAAGTTACTAGAGGAAGCAGACACTTTTCTGGACAGTTTCTGTTTGATAAATGATCATGTCATGCTATCACTTAGAAGAGTGCTGTAAAATACTGAAGAGCCAATTCTGTTTCCCCTGCAGAGCTGGTGCCTTAGCTCCTGTATGGGTGTCTGCAGCAGGCTATGCTCCTTCCACAATTAATGATGACCACTGATGAACCTGTATTTGACCAGCATGCTCCAATCTTTATCGGAAATGTCTGGCCCGACTGTCCTTCCTAAATCTAAAGACAGCCATTTGTCATCCCCCTGACTGCCTGTCATCATATTGCCTGGGCAAAATCTATAATTTTGGCTGTTCCTGACTAAACTGTGGGATGAATAAATTTATCTTTGGGCCACTCTGCTTGTCAGAATCAATACTGAGCAGAGGTTGAATAAATTAGAAAATAAGAAAACATGACAGGCAGTAGTAGTTTGCTACTAAATCAAACATTTTGTTTATATAAGATACAAACATGTCACATTTTTTATTCCTCCCATTTATTGTGAAGATTCTATACCTCATGATAAATGGTCATCAGAAAACCAATGAAGTAAATCATCATAAATCTAACTGTGCAATGAACTTTTTGGTCAGCTTATTGATTGAGCAAACTTTGAAGACATAAAAACTGTTAATATTAAAAATGTTTTTTTCTTTCAAGTTCTTGTATGTTTTTACAACCTGATATCTGACCTTATACCATTAGTAACCTACAGTTACCTGGTAAATGATCAAACCTATGCTCACAAAGAACTTGCAGAAATTGAAGTCTTACTATAAATCACTATTCAAGTATTTCATATTTTTATATATTGTTATATACCTGCTTAAAAATGTATTGTTAACCCAAAGCAAATGTCATTAAACTAGAGCCCTGTGAGTTAAAGAAAGGAGTTCCTAAACCATGTATTGTTTTACCTAAAACTTACTTGTCCTCTTCCTCAAATGTTGTCATTGCCACTAATTTTATGGAGGGAGACATGAAACATCTTACTATAGGCTTTCAGTTATAGGCTTCTGGTCTCACATTTCTTCTTCAATCCTTCTTTTCTATTTTCAACAAAAGAATACTGCTTTTTTTGTTAATCTTTCTCCCATCTTGGGATCTTCTCTATCTTTTATTTTTGTTTCCAGTGTTCTTTCTCTGGCTATTGTTCTTATAGCTATGATCACCAGATTTCTTTACCTTTCTTCTCAAAGTTTCATGATTAAGAATTACCAAAGGATCTTGTTTAAATTTGACAGATCTGAGGAAGAAGCTGCAATTTTGAATTTCTGTTGCTGTTGCTTGTTCTTAGGCCTCATTTGGAGATAAAAGTTAACAGCTTTCACTTTCTTTACCACTGGGCATTGCTGGAACTACCAGCTCACTGAGCCAAATATTATGAATCATGAGCTTTGAAAATTTTAGTTCTTTGGAGCATCTTACTCTGTAAGTCACATTACTTAAGGCCTCATGTTTCTGTAGTTGTTCAGCCTTTATGGATCCTTTGTAAATCTCTGACCTCACCAGTAACAAATCTCTAGCCACAGACATCCCCAATGTATAAACAGACTACTTTCTAAAAGTTGCTCTTGAGAACTGAGACTGTATCTCATAAAAACAATGCGATATCTGGTGGGCTGTTGCCTAATTCAACACAACTTCTCTTTGTGAAAATGGCTTCAGAACATTTGTGCTATACAGTGCTATAAAAGCTTCCCATAATGCATGCATTCATGTTTTCCAGACCTATATCCCTATGTTAGACCCTCTTGCTGCCTTTCCTATAATTTACATTTGTTCCTTTTAGACTGTTTATTTTCATTCTCTGGATCACAGAAGAGTATAAAATCACTCTTTCCCAGCTACAGATAAAAAGTTATTCTTTTCTAACCCTTTATCGTCTCTCTTTATTCTGAACTCTTTTTCAGAAAGGAATGTTCTAACTGTGCCCACATCACATCCTTGATAGCATTTTTGGTGACTACTGAACCAATATTCTGAGGACTTCTCATACATCTGTTCTCTGAGTCTGGCCTCATATATCCAATTGTTTACTTGATATTTTTTTCCAGAATTTTTCAATAGGGACCCCCAAAATTAGGATCTCTCATGGAATTTTTCTCCATGACCCCAAATTGTGAATCCTAGCCTGCCTCTTCAGTTCTTATGCTCAAGGCACAAGTCCAGAGATCATTCCTGACATCTCCACCCTCCCTATATCAAACTCACAAGCAAGCCCTGTCTATTTCACTTGCTTCCCATGCAGGCAAATCCTGCGGGACTTTCAAGACATGTCATTATTTGAGAATGACTGCATTTCCTAATTCCTTTCTTCCCAAAGAACTCAAATTTCTTTTGTTTTAACTACTTCTCACTGCTCATGTCAGAATCTTAATCTTAAGGTTCCATTCTTTATTTGTTCTAAATCAGTTTTTTTCTTAAGACACTTAAAAATGAGCTGTCCATACTAACAGACATAATAAACACAAATCACCACCATACTTTATAGTTTATAGAACGTCACAAAATCAATGTAGAAGATTGACTAGCAAGGCTTTTCATAATAATGTGTAACCCATTACTATGTTGATAATATTTAGCAAAATGGGGATGACTAAAGACTGTTTTTTTACATCTGAATGGTGACTTTAAGTTCTGAGTCCTTATTTTTAGAGACTAAATTACCAGCAAAACAAAATTATATTTTTTTGTGGAAGAACTATACTTAGTTCATTTATTTGCTGTAGATGCATTTGAGGGACCCACTTGATGTCCATATAAAAGCAGCTGGTCTCCTTAAGTGCTAAAAAAACCCAAAACCCTCAGGTAATTACAGTGGTTTTCCTCTAATGATGTCCACTTCTTTTCCCCCATGGCACAAAGCTGTCTACTTGCTGACGTCTTTTAGGATGGATGTCAGTGACCTCATGTGTGGGATGAGAGATTTCTTTTCTACAGCACAAGGTTTGATGCCAGTAGATTTGGGGCATCTTAAATAGGCGAAAAGAAAGGAAAAATTAAATCAAAAGAAATTAGAGACACTCTCTCCAGACTACATACAAATTTTTTCTGGTGATACTGAAGTTTCAGTTTGTAATACATTTTACATTTTGCTGAAGAACAATGATACAGTGAACAATGATATCCTCTTATGCTTGGCTGACCACTATCTCCTTTTGTGAAGTTATTGCCAAACATCTTTGGCCCATTTGAAAAACATCATCTTACTATAGGATTA